GTTCTTTTGGAACTACCTAAATGTGCCCCTATTGCGACTTCAACGCTTCACTGGCTCCCCACTGCTCTATGCCTTATGACTTTGAGTCCACTTTTGCTCCATAGCCTGCATAAAGGCTCAGTTCGCCTCTCTAGTGGCTTGATGTCTCCCTTTCTACCTTTGCTCCCATTTACTAATAATCCTCTCTTCCCACCAGGTTTAGATCAACATGGGGCGTTCTCCTGGTGGGTGACCCATGGCTTTTTGCAGGTACCACACTTCTTGACCTCGCGGTCGTTCCCCACTTGGAATTCTCTTCGGGACTCACGGGATGTTTTTCAGGTGGAATTTTTTCGTTATCTTGAATTGTGGCATTGGCTGACCTCTCTGCGTAGCACCTCCACCTCTCCATATCAGAAATCTGCCTTTGAACAGCTTTGCCAACAGTGTCCTGGTGCCCCGGGTCTTGTTTCCATACTTTATGCATCTTTAAATAGGCGCTCGATGAGTGCTTCTCTATCGTATGTCTCTCAATGGAAGCGTGACTTGGGGGTGGCTGTGGAGGCGGCATACAAAGTAATGTTCCTTTGGTATTGGGTCCCAGCTCATATAGCCCAGGCAAACTCTACCTATTGTGATAGCTGCTTTCGGGGTTGTGGCCATTGTGGAGATGTGTTACATATATGATGGTCATGCCCGAGATTGTTTCAGTTTTGGTCTCGTGTGTTTGGCCTTCTCTACACACTGTTTCATCTCTCCATATGCCAGGAAGCCTTTGGTTTACTTCACTGTTGGAGGTATATAACACTATATTTTTCACATTTTCTGTGCCATTGATAGCCCCTGCGCGGGCTTGCCTTTTGCTCTGCTGGTGTTGTAGCATTGTTTCTTTTATACCCTATGTGCCATTGACAGCCCCTGTGTGGGCATGCCTTTTGCTTCAGTTCTTTCTCATTTAAAATGTTTAAAATTAATAAAAAATCATTGAAATACAAAAAAATCCCAATAAGCTTATATTATTTTGGTATGGGTGATAGTAGTAGTGTCTATAAACAATGGTATATATACTTTTATATACTTCTAATGGCAACTCATAGTGGGACTGTGATAGTGCAGTCAGCAATCTGACACTGACACTTTGTGGAAACTGACTGTACTAATAACACTGGCTGGGAAGGGGCTAACATCTCGGGGCAATCGAAAGGTTATATTTGTGCCTAACAATGTGTAATGTGTATAATATGTGCTGTTTTTTGCTAACAATCACTTTGTTTCCTTTGTGCAGAGGGCTCTTGGCTGTGATCGTAAACAGCAGATCAGCAGGTCCCGTTCATGAATCATTGGCTGAGACCTGTTGACTAAAGCCAGCCATAAGTGAGTGAATTCTGAAAGAATTTTCCTTTGAAAATCTTTTCTAAGAATTCTCATTTGAATTTTCCACCATTAGTGGGCCACAGCAACATCCAATTTTGCGAGCAAGCATCGAATTTGAGTGATCGGGCATGTTGGAAATTTTTTTAAAAAGCGAACAAATTTCTAATCAATGATGAGAGAACCATGCGAGAAATGTAATTGAAAAAGAAATGAGAATGAGCTGTGATCTGGAAAGAAAATTCTTAGCCACAAAAATTCTTTTTAGCAACATAAGGTAAAATTAAAGGCTTGGGTGGTCAAATTTCGAAATCAATGGTGGCACCATCGGATTACAAAACTCAGGAAATTTCCTATTTTCTATAGAAAATTTGTTCAGAATTCGACCCATGTATGGCCTGCAGAAGTTTTGTACTGTTCAATCACAGCAGAGCCAGCAGGGGGGGGGGGGGGGTCACGCACGCGCGCACCCTCAACCTAGAAGAAAGCTGCAATCTACATTACGTTGCCTGTACGAGCCACCCGTCTACAGTATATGGCAAGCGGGTAAATAATGCAAAGTCAGAATTAAGTAACACACACAGTTCAGGGGTCAGGATTAAGATTTAATCCTGACCCCTGACCTCTGTGCATTACTTAAAGCAGAGCTAAACTCAGCGATCCTTTCCTCACTGGCCTCAGCCTCTTCTTGGCTTCTTCTGGGTGCTGGGCTGCGACTGTCTTTATGGGCTAGCACGGGATAAAAGTGCTGCAAGTGCTGTGCTGGAATGTAAACTAAGCTGCACTTGCATTACTCAATGTACATTCTAAAGCAAACTGCAAGCAGGCAGGTGGGTTGTTTGTTTTTATTGCAGGAGAGACGTTGCATGTTACTTCTGCAATAAACAAGCCTGCCTGCTCACAATTTTTGAAAGCTGGACTTTAGTCTCACTTTAATCATGACCCCTGAACTCTGTATGTTACTTAATCATTAAAGTGTTACTAAACCCACAACAGTAAAATCAGTCTGTATATGCAGTAAAGCATGCTTGTTATACTCACCATGGAACCTAAGGGGTTAATCTTCTGCATTGTGTAAAAAGGTCATTTGATCCTGATTGCTCTGTTCCTCCTCTTGTTTAAGCAACCACCTCTTATCTCCTGATAAGACAGACTAAACCGTAGCCATTCTACACATGCTCAGTTTAGAGTGTATTGCTAGAGAGTTTTTTTTTTTTCTTGGGAGAGTGCAGGTGATCAGCACAGGGCCAATCAGCACTGGCCAGACAGAGGTCAGGGGTTCTGCATCCCCCTGGAGCAGAAAGAAAACTTTAGCTAGTGCTTGGCTGAACACTGATAGAAGTCACCAGGCTGCTCTAACTTCTGACGAGAAAAGTTATTTAGCAGTTTATATTTTCTAAAATAATTGCATTTCCATGCTCTGTGTACTGTGGGAGACCAGATAGTGAATGCAGGGTCCTGGGTTTAGTAACACTAAGTAGCACACAGAGTTCAAGAGTCAGGACAAAGTAACGCACATGTTCAGAGGTCAGGATAGTTTAGGGATCAGGTCAGCAGTTACTCACAGATTGCAGCATCATTCCTAGGAGCCACTGGGTTGTGTAGTTTGTAGTGTGCAGGCACCAACTCATCACACTGCAAGCATCAATACAAAATGGCACAACTACAACAGTCTGTGCATGTCTGGCAGCATGAAACTCTGAGCACGGCAATCTAGGGGCATCATTTTTTAGTTGCTGCTTTTGCAGGGTGGCAGGTTGGAGCCTACAAACTTTATACTACTAGGCACAAATTCAGGGATGTCTGTTCACAGAGACAGCCAACTCACTATGGGTACTGTCCCCAGGAACCAGGGACAAATGACAACCTTAGATTAAAGGAAAAAGGAGAGTAGAGCCTGAACCTCACAATACACACTGAACAAGTTTGTACCCCCAATGTACACTATAATTACATTGCCACAAGTAATAGTTTTAGAGTCATACATAAACCTGAGGACCATAAAATAATTTCCAAACACTTCCAATACATATGCTTTTCTTTCTGAGTCTACACTAAATAAGAACTTCATTAAAACACTTTGGTGAGGAAACCTACAGAATGCATCAGCCAGAATAATGTAACATATGCCTTAATGTATACAGCGTAGTGATCAGGAGTATGTAATGTACCACACAGATTACAGAACCCATCAGTCATTAATATATGCCATGATTTATATCAGGATTTCTCAGCCAGAGTTTCATGGAACCCTGAGGTTACTCCAGAGGTTGCTAGGGGTTCCTCAAGCAATGAGAAATTTCTTTCTCTCAGATAAGTTTCCACTGATGCCATTGATGTTTGTAGGTATCTGTAAGGAGGTAATTCTTCTCAATGGCCACAAGTGTAAGGTACATTCTTCCCACTGTTCATCACACTAGTGCATCGTGAGTTGTAGATAAAGTATTTTTTAACAGGCGTTCCCTTAGACCGGGAAGTTATTTTAAGGGGTCCTCTGTGTTGAAAAGGCCTGAGAGGCTTCTCTATAAAGTGCTGGGGTCAGGAGTATGCAAGAAAACAGTGTTATTGTTCAGTTGTAGAGAAGAAAAATGCTCTGTATTGATAGTCAATGGGAGCTAAATGAGTTTAGTATTTGAGTAATAAGAGAAAAATATTCTGCATCATTGGTTAGTGGGAGGAAAAATGCATGGTGTCATCTTTGACACAGTGGTTCTGTATATTCGTGACCTCAAGATTCTCCAGCGGGCCAGTCTGAGTCTGCTAATTGGCAACTGACTCTAAAAGTATGAAAATCAGCACAACAGACCCTATACTTCTCTCATGACAGGTTTTCTTTCACATCCTCTTTCTTACATCGGTAGTTTGGCAAAACGCTTTTTGACTTTGGCGGTAAAACCGCAGTGGCAACATCGAGAATATAACCTGTTTCTATAATGCTTTTAACTTTGCAATTCAAATGTTTTTATTCATTTAACAGAGTGTAAAGGATTATGTGTTATGAGCCAGAAAAGAACATTCTTCATCTTCATTCAGAGAAACAGTAGTTATTTCATTGTACTCAGAGTGAAGTGATTAGCTTCGAGGTTCATCCTAGCAACAGGGAACAAGCTTGTAAACAGAGAACAGAAGGGAAATAATAGAGAATCAGCTTGTGCACTTTCATGCTTTCTCCCCGATAAGATCATTTTCAAGCTACTTCTGGAACATTGCAAGATATTGAGGCTATAATAGGGCAGCTGAGAAAAAAATAGATGAGTCTCGCTGACAGCAAGTGATGGGTAATGCTATTCTGCTTCTATCTCTTTTAACACATTGCTTAGAAATTTCAGATCATATTGTTCTACAAATATATAATCTGAGTTATTTACATAAGTTGTTTGAAGTATGTCAGTTACGGACAGGGGGTTTATAATACATTCTGTATGCTGTATCAGCCTCTATTGTGCTGGGGATTTGGATCTAATCCAGTGACCACAGTAAACAGGCCATTCTTCATCGATTGTACAGATAGGTATGCTTATTTCGCCATCCTATACTTGCCCTATGTTTGATGAAAGGATCTAAAATTCATCTAAAGGATACTGCAAACAGAATCTCTTTTTCTGTACAAGTTTTACATTTTTCCCTATATTCTTTTCCTATTATCAATCTATAAACATTTAAGTATATGCAGTATATCAAGATTTCTATTTTTTTTTAGAGTTCCTTGTTTCTTTACACAGGTTGTCTCAACCAGGCTTCTGTGAGAGGTCCCCAGGGGTTCCACCACTTCCACCAATGCAGCAGATTCCTATTCACCCAATGGTGCCTTCTGTATCCCCTGTGCATGATACCCAGATGAGTGGGCAGGAAGGGTTGGGATGAAGGAGGAGTGTGCTTGTGGTTCTAACTGAATTGGCTGCTTTAGGCCCACCCTGTGCTCTTACATAGGTAGTTTTGGTTATGCCAGATGAGGTGGGTTGAACTACCTCTCTGCTGTCATTCATAAAGTGGTTCTAAAGTCAGGAAATTATGTAGATAATATAGGTGCAGCGCTATAAATGGTATGAACATGAACATGAAATATACAATATATAGGACATTTATCAACGTGCAATAGCGTAGTGATTATATTGATAATTCAAGGCAAGTGATATAACGTCCAAATGAGAAGACGTGTGATATGGAGATCCTGTAAAGTCCCTGCTTATAGTGGGAATATGTGATCCAGAGGTGGTAGTTAATGAACAGAATGTGCACTCACCAGAAGTGCGTATTAAAGTCAGGAAATGTTTACCTTAATCCACGGGTAGCAAACACAAGACCTGCAGGCTGAATCCAGCCCACCAGGCCTTGTCGTGTGGCCCACGAAGCAGCTGGTGGCTGCCACTTCCGGCTCTTACCCGCTGTCACATGTAAACACAGGGACCTTCTGTTTTTACAGTGACAGCTGTGCTCTCAGCAGGTCATGGACCCCTGCAGGCACTCAGGGCAGTGCTCGTGGCAGGGCACAGTGAGGCATGGCAGGGACAGATCTGACAGAAGAATCTCCCTGCATGGCGGCAGAAGTGAATTCCCTGGTATTGGGGGCCGTCCAATCTGCCTACACAAGTGCTAGAGTGCAATACACAGGGAGGGAGCCGCCTAGTAGAGATGCGAGGAAGCTTTGGGAAAGGGGAGGGAATGGGGGCTGTGGAGTTATGGAGGATTTTGTGTGCAGAGATGGGGGGATGGGGGGGGGGGCAGTGGTGGGTGTAGAGGTTAGAACTCAGGAAAAGGGGTGGAAATGAAATAAGATGTTTGTATGTGCATAGTGCACCCCTAAACCTTGCACTCTGTACACAGTGCACCCTTAAACCTTGCACTCTGTAAACAGTGCACCCATAAACCCTGCACACTGTACACATCACCTCTAAGCCCTGCACTCTGTATACAGCGCACCCCTAAGCCCTGCACTCTGTACACAGCGCACCCCTAAGCCCTGCACTCTGTACACAGCACACCCCTAAGCCCTGCACTCTGTACTCAGACCACCCCGAACACCGCACTCTATATGTTGCACACCCCTGAATCCTGCACTCTGTATGTAGCGCACCCCTGAACCCTGCACTCTGTATGTAGTGCACCTGTAAATACGGCACTCTGTACATAGATACCCCAAGCCCTGCACTCTATATGTAGCACACCTCTAAACCCTGCACTCCATACATAGCGCACCCCTAAACCCTGCACTGTGTACATAGCTCACTCCTAAACCTTGCACTCTGTACATAGCTCACTCCTAAACCTTGCACTCTGTACATAGTGCACTCCTAAACCCTGCACTCTGTGCATAGCACGCTCCTAAACCCTGCACTCTGTACATAGCGCACCCCTAAACCTTGCACTCTGTACATAGTGCACTCCTAAACCCTGCACTCTGTACATAATGCACTGCTAAACCCTGCACTCTGTACATAGCGTACTCCTAAACCCTGCACTCTGTACATAGCACGCTCCTAAACCCTGCACTCTGTGCATAGCACACCCCTAAATCCTGCACTCTGTATGTAGTGCACCCCTGAACCCTGCACTCTGATAAAGAGTAGATACCTAGTCTTACAGATACAACTGGCCCTTTGAGAGCAATTATACTGCTGAAGCCCCCAATGAATTTGAGTTTGACACCCCTGCCTTAATCCATTCCCTGCATTAGGCTAAAAAATGTCCCAGTAGTTGTATGACCCTATTACCTCCCTAAATGCTTACCTGAGTCCTATCTTGATCCAGTGCTGTGCGCATCTGCAGCGGCACTTGTCTGTGTTCCTCTTTTCACAAGATACAGAGGCAGCAGTGGGAGCCATTGGCTCCTGCTACCGTCAATAAAATTCTGTGGAAAGCTGAGCTGCTCTGTGTGCATACAGCCCGACTCAGAAAGGAGCCTGTTCATCTGATCCCACAGCAAGCAGCCATTACCATTGCACAGGGCAGATATGTATAATATGTTCATTATTTTTATTAAAAATAAATGTATACTTTACAATCATTTTAAAGTGGTATTGAACTTATGAACAAAAATGTTAGGTTGTAGCTTACCAATTCTTAGATGTGGTTTGCTTCATTAGTTTTTTTTTTTCTTTTTTAAGGTTTTTTTCCTTTATCTGCACCTGGTGATCCAGACAGTATGTCTCTTATTTTTCAACAGACCAAGCTGCCCAGTTAGCAATTAGAGAGATGAGACAAACATTTACCACTGGCAGTGGTGCTTACAATGATCAACGTTTATTAATTTATGTAAAACCTTTATCGGAAAATATATTAAAAAAATGTTGTAACTGCTTAATACAGTAGCTGTTAGCTGGAACCTGGCTTTGGTTGGTTGGTCAATCCATCTAAATATGCAAGACCATCTAATACTATCTTCTCCCCAGATTGACAATGTTGTTGTCCAAATGTTTCCCTGTTGTTTCTCCATCCAGAGTGGAGACACACTAAGACAGGAAGTGTGGTATTGGCTGGATCACAAGGTGAAAATAAAGGGAGGAAAAAATTACTGGTGCCACCAATTGCCTGGAGGGTTGTGTGTCTGTATGTGTTAGAAGTTTATGGGGAGACACTGGGAAGGGGGGGATGTCAGGTAGGCCATATGGGACTCAATGGTTTTAGTGGCAACCCTATTGATAAGAATTCATCTCACTGATGGGAACAAACTCAGACTATCAACAGTGCAGGGGGAATGAAGGACAGGGGAGGAGAAAATGGGGTTTCTTCTGTGAACCAGAACGATCTCAGGTTATTATTATTATTATTATTATTATACAGGATTTATATAGCGCCAACAGTTTGCTCAGTGCTTTACAATATAACGGGAGACAATACAGCAACAATGCAGTTCAATACAAGAGGGATAGGAGGGTCCTGCTCCTTGGAGCTTACAATCTAGGAGGGAGGGGCTAGTGGTACAAAATGTAGTAAAAGTGGGGGATGGAATGGTTGGAAGAGTAGAAGATTCCATTATTAGCTGAGGGCAGGATAGGCGATAGTCTGATAGATTGGGGTAGAGAGTTCCAGAGGATGGGGGAGGCTCTGGGAGTTCTGGAGACAAGCATGGGAAGAGGAGACAAGGGAGATAGACAGCAGGAGGTCATGCGAGGAGCGAAGAGGACTGTTTGGGTGATATTTGGAGACAAGATTGGTAATGTAATTTGGGGCAGAGTTATAAATGGTTTTATATGTTATTGTTAATGTTTTGAACTTTATTCATTGGGCAATGGGAAGCCAGTGGAGGGATTGGCAGAGAGGGGTGGCAGATATGGAACAGTTAGTAAGGTGGATGGTTACATACAACATAAGAAAGAAAATGCAGTGATCAGTGGAGAAGGAGCAGGATGGGGCAATAGGGATTGTGTTAACAGTCCTCTCCACAGTCTGTCAACACAGCAGGGCTGGCAACAAAGAGGAAGAAAGGAGCAGAAGTATGAAAAAAAAAGTGTGATGATAAGAAATAGTGATTATAGAAAATGGGAGAAATGATGAAGAGAGGAACAAGCATTTTCCATTGGACACTGAAGAAGCACTGTTAGTGTTTCTGCTGAGCACCAATGCACTGTTAGGGGTTTATTCATTACCATTTCACTGTGAAAATGCCTGAGCATTCGCACAGGCATCTCAAATAATCCCTGTCATTTTCCAATATATTTATTTCCTACAATCATCAGCCCCATCCAATGGCCATATCGCAGTATTTTCATGACAAACCTCAATCAGAAAATACCACATTATGGTCATAAGATGAAGGTGACAACCATAGGATGTACACATTAAGAAATTCCAGGGACATTTGTAATGGCTGTGTGAATACTCAGAGATTTGCACAGTAACTTTGTTCATATGTATATAGATCCCTTGTTGTTTCCACTGAGCACCAATGCAAATTTAGGAATCTATTAAAACATTTGTGGCAGGATGTCAGAAACATTTGTGCAAGTTGAACAAAATGTTCTGTACCAGGGGCGGACTGGCAACTCATGGGGCCCCCCAGGCAACTGGGGATCATGGGGCCCCTGTGTCCTCGCCCACACTCAAACCACACCCAAAACAGCCTATGAAAGGTACCAGGAACGTCTCATGGGGCCCTCTACTGACCCCGGGCCCTCAGGCAGTGCCCAAGTGCCGGAATGGTCAGTCCGACCCGCTCTGTACTTTTTCTTAGAGATTTATGCCTGTATCGTCAGCTCTATCTAGTGAGCAAAATACTTTTTTTTTTTAATTCCTCAATGAGAAAACTATACTGCATTTCGCCACTAGATGGAGATGAAGATACAGGCATCAAAGGATAAGTTCACCTTTCGTAGCATGTTACATTTTACACGCATATTCAGGGTGTAACATGTAACATCTTATGCTCGAACCAGCCACTATTCCCCTCCCGATCCCCAATTTGAAAGCTAGCGGGGGATCTTTTTCCCCGTCGCTAGCTGTCAAATTTAAAAGAATGCACCCATGCAAGGGTTCTGCCCACACGGCTGCGTCACTCATTCACAGTCCTCTGTGAATGAGAGACTACAAGTCCTGGCAGCCTTAGCGGCTGTCGGCTTGTAGTTCTCCATGAACTGCCACGGTGCTGTGAAGGGCCGTGGTAGTTCATTCATTCTTACTGTTAGTATATCTGTTTGCCCGTACATCCCATATGGCCAAGCTGATATACTGACAGACCTGCAGGAGACCTGCATGGCATCAGCGATGCTTTCCAGACTCCTGTGGACAAAAATAATAAATGCACATTTTTTTTACCTGCAAAAAAATTAGCATTTATTCTTTTTTTTTAAAGGTGAACTTATCCTTTAACCTCTTCACGCCGGCCGCACACAAATGTGAGGCCTCCCGGCGTCTGGGCCTAGATGTCGAGCGGCCGCACATTTGTGTGCAATTAAGAAAAACATATGTGCTGAGAGTGTGCGCCCTGCGCGCTCCCAGCACACATGTCCGGTACTCACGGAAAGGTCCCGATCTCCTCTTTCGATCGGGACCTTTCCCAATCATGTGACGGTGGATCACGGCGGTCACATTACCCTTAAACCCCGCCCTGCCTCTGAAACCCTTAAAGGGCCGGGAGGCGCCGGCACCAAGGGGTTAATCACTTTAAGCACTTCAAGTCCAGACACTTTCACCCCCTTCCTGTCCAGGCCAATTTTCAGCTTTCAGCGCTATCATACTTTGAATGATGATTGCGCGGTCATACAACACTGTACCCATATTAATTTTTTAGCATTTTTTGAGACAGATAAAACTTTATTTTGGTGGTATTTATTCACCACTGGGAATTTTCATTTATTTGCTAAATTTTTTTGCAAGATTTCATAAATCTTGGCCAAAATGTATTCAGCTATATTTTTAGTAAAAAATAAAATAACCCAAATTAGTTTATAACCAAAAATTATAATTTTTCAAAATTTTTTTTACATTTTTATTTATTTTTTTATATTATTATTTATTTATTTTTACCATACTGTCACCCTAGCAGTAGTTATCACCATAGTGACACTGTACTACTTGTGGGGGGTGATGAAGATTTTTTTTCCTTTTTTTTATACTGATTGCTTTTACACCCATAAAGGCTGTAAAAGCAATCATTTCTCCTTCTCTCTGGCTGCATTCTTGCAGCCATTGAGAAATACTGTGAGAGCTGTGATTGGTCGCAGCTGTTGTGAATAGCCTTGTACCATGTGACCTCTGTGATCATTCACAGATTTCACAAGTAGTAAGCAATGATGTCAGCAAGTGACATCTTGCTTACTACTATTCATGTGATCACTGATTGGCTAATCAGTGATCACATGATTGGGACCTCACACAGAGGTCCCGTATAGCAATCAGTGTTCCGATGTGTCTGGAGGACACAGCGGGCATTGGATCGCGGTGCCGTGCACTCCTAGGGAGCGTGCACAAGCAGGAAAGCAGGAGGACGCTTATAAACGGCCACCCGCCCCTGCACTGCTCCCATCCGGCCGTTTATGTACATGGGCCGGACGGGAAGTGGTTAATGTATCTTGTCCGGAGGACACAGCGGGCACTGGATCGCGGTGCCGCGCGCTCCCCGGGAGCGTGCACAGGCAGTGAATGCAGGGGCCGTTTATAAATGGCCATCCTGTCCAGCAATTTATGTACATGGGCTGGACGGGAAGTGGTTAAATATGCCAGCAATTACGTTGAACTTGCAAAAATGTTTCTGACATTCGTGCAACAAATGTTTTAGAAATAGACCCACTAGTGTTTGTGTAAATTTTTTTTGGATGCTTTTTATTACTATATCCACATTTAACTAATCAAGCTAACATCCCGTAAGCTGTAGGTTAGAAAATTATGTCAGGGGTTCCACGAGACCTGACATTTTTTTTAAACTGTTCCTCAGGCATAAGGTGGTTGAGATAGGGGTGGAACTGAC